TTAAGTTTTATAAAATATGAAATCGATAATAAAACAAATTTCGAATTTGGGCTTCTAGATGCCCATATTCGGAGGAGGATTACGTCATTCAAAATTAAATGACTGTAGGTACAATAGTTTTATCACAATGCGAGAAACATACATACATTTATGCAGATTCTTCAGCATTTACGTTTTTTAAATATAACACAGGGCGATAATATTTGGTGGCAACATTTTGAAAAGTGATACGGACATTTACAGTGAATCGATGCAAAATGCCAAGCCAAAATTAATAGCCCTTTTGGGCTAAAAATAGCTTTTATTTAAAATACGCGAAACGAAATAATTAATGAACTAAAAAGAAAGCTAATTTATCTTACAATCTGACGGGAGCAAGAGATTAAACAATTATCTTTATAAAATTCATCTACAACTTTATATCACGAATAATTAAACTTGGGTGCTTAAATAACGAAGCCTAATAATCGATTTAATTATCTAAGGTATAACACATCATCTTTATACATTTCTAAGGTATTTCTCCAACTTTCCTAGTGTGCCTTCGTGGTGTAGTAGTCAGCACACTGGGCCGGTATTCCAGAGGTGCGTGGTTTGATTCCCGGGGAAGGCGGTTGCTAATTTTTCATCTCTCCGGCTTTTCCAATTAATCTATTCTCTCTACAGTGGCGCCTGAACTAAAAGGGTGTAGGATGAGGATTCTCCATGCACAGGAATTGACGATTGGGTCCCCTAAAAACCCCATACGCCCTTTAAAAAGGAGCGTATATAAGGTATTTCTCCTACTTTCCTAGCGTGCCTTCGTGGTGTAGTGGTCAGCACACTGGGCCGGTATTCCAGAGATCCGTGGTTTGATTCCCGACTAAGGCGGTTGCTAATTTTTCATTTCTCCGGCTTTTCCAATTAACCTAACGTCTCTACACATTTATTAAGTGTACGCCACACTTTTGTTATTCGTGATATAAAAAACTTTTTATGAATTTTGAAAAAGAATTATTTCAGAGAGTTAAAAGAATTGATTCAGACAGTTTTTTTCCCTCTGTATCCGATGACTGAAACAACGAAATTTTGCAATTTTTAACTTATGAAATGAAGATATGTGCGAAAAATCGTTTTAACATCAAATAAAATAAGATTAAAAAAACTAAATTAGTTTTGATACGATCGTTTTACTGCAATGTATTGTCCCCAAGCAATGTGTGACAAGTATTTTTTTGAATAAGTTCTTTAAAAATCCAAGACAAACTTTGGATGATAGCGACAAATGACATGACTGAATTAAATAAATTTCACTAACGTTATTTATATCTATATAAAAATTCGTAATATTATTTGACATTCAGTAAGATGCTATTTTAACTAGTTGACTGATGCTTTATTTAAAAGTTACGAATATCACAATAAAATTTGTTCAGATTTCGTTAATAACTTTTTTTTTGGTTGAATAAATAAAGAGATAAATAAATAAATAAAAAATACTAAAAAGATCATAAATACATACATACTAAATAAAATAAACAGATAGATAAATCTAGATAAATAAAGAGATAAATAAATAAATAAACAGATAGATAAATAAATAGATAAATCTTCAGGCAATTGATGAAATTTATAACTGAAATATTTCTTCAGTGATATAAGGTTATTATTTTTAAAATTTCAATTTCTATGCATTAAAAAATAGGATTTTTTTTATTGGTATACGAAAAATTAACCGATAACTTGTGATATTTTTTAAATGCTTGAGGCATATATTTGGAGTTAGAAATCGTGATTGCTCCTAAGTATTTCCCACTAATGTATAATTTTCATAAATACATTTAAATTCCGGATTGATGCGAAATTGCCAAGTCCATGAATATTTGATTGATTGATTTAGTAAATAAGGTTGAAAACAGAGTGCTATGAAGTCATATGGCAAAGAAATTGTAAGAGAGTACTGGAAAAAAAAAAAAAAAAAAAAAAGTAATGTTATCTCTAATTTATGGATTATACACATTCAATTGTATGTTTGGGCACCTATTCATTTATAAATTTAAATTTGCTTGTTTATATAAAAAATTCGTTATGGACACCATATGACTGCTTTACACAGTCTATTTATTTATACACATTTTGCCAGATTTGGAGCGAAATCGCCCATTTGGCGATATTTGACTAGATTCTAGAACGCATTTTTAGCGTTTTTCTTCGAGAATGTTCTCGAAGGTAGGTTAAAGGTTCGGTGTACGCGGAGGAAGTAGTATTTTGAAATTTGGAAGTGTAATAGTATGTTGAGTTCGGTTGTAGTGTTTTGAGATTAGAGATTAGCTTAAGAGCTAGCAAATCGAGTCGGGAGCTGTACTTTAGTGATTTGCCGTGAAGCTGTCTTCAATGTTGTAGCCTGAATGCCGTGTTGCTGATTGTTTCAAGGTGGGTGCTTATCATAATTTTTGGACGACTATAAGCGTGTCTTTTGGGATCTCCTGTGCAATACTGGTGAATAAATTGCGTTTTGATTCTTCATCAAGCGTTGCTATCAATTGTTCCAAATCTACGGACGCGTAGAACGCAATAATATATTTAAAGTAGCATGTAAACATAATACTGTAACTTAAATGCTATGTACAACTTTCATGTGACTCTTAATGGTTGATGAAAGACAGAAGAAACAAATATAAAGCATAACCTGAAACACAAACAGAATGCTTATTCATTTAAAAAAAAAAGTGTCGCTTATAATATACTGCAAATAAAAACAAAAGACGAGGAAGCATTCAGAACACATTATATCAAATCGATAACGCAGCCGCGGTAGGAATGGTAATGTGCAGCTGACCATAGATTGCGAACCATTGGGCTAGTGCAGAGTTAATCAATCTTCGTCAGTCCGCGAGGCACAAAGTGTCAAATTTCCCAAGGCACACCTCGAGTCTAATCATAAACTTTTCGTTAAAAAATGAGCGTTGCACCGAAAAGTTCGCAAATAACATTTTAATAAGTTTGCTGGTTTTTAAACCAGTGTTGATCATAAATTTCGAAAGTATATTTTAAAAATTCTCTTCGTACTTTTTTTTTTTAATTTGTAAAAAATTGTTGAAATGAGATTGTCATTAGAAACAGGTTATAAGAGGTCAGTTATTTAAAAACGAAAATTTCTTATGACGCATTTTACTGACCTCAAAAACTGTCCTTTTTTGCTCTTTTTCACAACCACACAACCTGCAACCTCCGTATTATGTGAATGAAATGAAGCAAAAAGAAAATCAAATTTTGAATGAAATATTGTTGATATAATAAATACTGAATTTGTTTCAGAATGGAAATTTATAAGCTTCATACTGCTTTACAGTCTTTCAGTTTGTAGAAAATATTTGAAAGTAAAAGGGACGTTAGTCCAGAATATTGGTATTCAAACGGCATTTCGCGTCGAAACACTTCAATGCGTTGTATCACTTTCCAAATCATTGCCATCAGATATTATCTCCCTGTAATATATTTAAAGAAATTAAATAATAAAAAACTGCATGAACATATGTTTCTTGCATTATGATAAAACAGCGGTACCTAGTCCTCCACCCGAACATGGTCACCTGGACGCCCAAATTTTGAATTTCGAAGTTGTTTTATTATTTATCTCATACTTTGTAAAACTGTGCAATGAAAGGGAAGGAAAATGAGGTACTATAAATTAAGAACATCGCCAAACGAAGTTAAAAATTTCACGCACTTTTTCAGTTTGCGCCAAAAATTGAAAAAATGCGCCAAGATAAATTTTTTAATTTCTAGGTACGTCTCTGACCAAATTTTACAAAATTTAATATTTCGTCCTAATTTGAGTCGTAGAATCTAAATATGAAAAAACAAAAAAACCGCATGCCTTTTTCAGAAAAATTCAGATTTTGTGTCAGAATACCCTGTGTTAGAACTTTGTTATATACAAATCTTATATAATCAAAGTCGCGCTTTTGTGACATGGAAAACTCAAATTAAATTTCGTCAAAGGTCCAACAGAACGAGAGATATAAACATGTAACCCCCTTTTTTTTTGTGCAGATTGTACACTGAAATTTTTCTTTTTATTAAATTGTAATTATAAGTAAAACGTTTATATCTGTTAGTATCACATAGGCGAAAGATGTATTTCAATGCAGATGAAATTCAACTTTAGATTACTAATATTAATATTAAGCATTTTTTTATGCTTTTCGAAAGTATATCATACAGGCACTTTTCTTCAAAGAACAAAAATAAAATATGTGGCTTAAACTGGTTAAGGAAATCACACTCAAAGCATATCAAAATCTGGTTTTTAGTAGAAGTGTTGAATTTATTGCTTAAGTGTCATAACAGTGGTTATATTTTTAGTCCAAAGGGATTTGAGTCCCGAAGGACTATTACTTCCGTTTTGGAATTTTGCGTTGGACTCCTATAAATGCCGATTCACTTTTCAAACTGTTGCCACAATAGAGTGCTGCATTATATCTGATGAAATTAAATAATGAAAAATCTGCATAAATGCATATATATTTTTCGCATTGTAAAACACGGTACACAAGCCATCGAATTTGAATGACGTATCTCTACGAATATGGGATGTGGAAGACCAAATTTATAATTTTTTTATGACGATTCAATTTTGTAAAACTTTAACGAATTTTTGAGTAACAAACTCAATGATTTAAAAGCGAGTAATGGCATCACTCTACGGGTGAAAAAAAGACCTTTTTATCTCCAGCGTGTCCAGCTGTGTGACGGAAATTCTAAAGATAGGCTCATTTTAAAATTATTTTGCGACATTGCTATTGAACTAAGGTAACACACAAATCGTTAAAAAAACGCCCCTTTGGATGCAATTTAAAATCTGAAACATTTCAGAATTTTTTTGTTTTTGGTTATTCTTATTTATATTTATTTATTTATTTTTTTTTTTAAGTATTCATTCTTCTTTTCTGAATTCATAATTGTTTTCCTCTTACGCCATTAGATGGTAATAATGAATGAATATTTCTCTGCTTCAGATCGCACAGATTATTTTGCACTCCAGGAAGAAAGGGAATGTGTAAACTGCGGAGCGATTTCCACGCCACTGTGGAGGAGGGACGGGACAGGCCACTACTTGTGCAATGCCTGTGGCCTTTACAGCAAAATGAACGGCATGAACAGACCTCTCATGCGGCCGCAGAAACGGCTGGTAGGTCCTTTGGTGGTACGTTGACTTTTTCCTTTCTTTCTTAAAGTTTAATAATATAATTTTGTTGCTACCCATAAAGAAAGTAATTTTTATTTATTTTCACATTTTTTGGTAGTGGGAGCAAAAGCTAACTTTCAGTTTTGTTCACCGATATTGTTATCTTCCTGCTCGTTAACCGAGGTACTTCTTTTGGTGCAATAACTCTAATATTAATTGCAAAAATTATTTTTTCACTGTTTTTAACTGTATTTGGTGTTGTAGGTTTTTCTGTTTTTTACAATATTTAACGACGATGTTTTTAGATTTTATGCGACGAAGTGAGACTTGAATTGATTGAATGAGAAATATATCTCTGGTGAAATTCGAGGAAATAAGTTTAAATGAAGTGCAGCAAATATGTGTGTATCTAAATAGGCTGTACAAGGAAGTCAAGGGGTGTTTACATCACATTTTTACTTCCTTGTGAAGTAAAAAGGAAGCATTGTAATCGCAAAAAATTTCGGGTATCATATTTCAACGAAAATATCAATTTTGATCGCTATCCAATGCAATTTAGTGATGTTTTTGCGTGACATACGCAAGTAAGGACAGAATAAAGGACTCTCTTCCCCCCAAAAAATTATAAGACTGATTTAAAAGGAATTCTGAAGAGAAATTTTCGTGGCGTCTGTGCGTACGTATGTATCTCGCATAACTCAAAAACGAGTAACTTCAGAACGTTGAAATTTTGTATGTAGGACTGCTATAACACGTAGATGTGCACCTCGTATTTTGGTTGCAATCGGTTTGCACATAAGTATATACATATATATATATATCACTATGTTCACTGGCTCGGCTCAGTTCAGTTTCTTTATTCTTATATGTTTGTAAATTGGGCATTTTTTGCTTTAAAAATGATTGAATTATGTTGTTCTTTATGTTTTTAGTAAATCTGCATGCAATCTTTGTGGAGTTATCAACAATTTAAAAGTTGTTTAAATGCAGCTAAGCCTAACGAATTTTGCGGATGGCGGACATGTTTGTTTACATTTCAAACTGGGCAAAATAGCGGATTTGTTGCCAATCTAGAGAAAATAAGCTTCAAAGATAGCGCCTTCTTTTATTATTGCGAATTAAATCATGCTTAATTCATTCTGGAATTTATTCGAGAAATAAATGTTTCAGATTTACTTCGTAATTTTTAATATAGATATTTTGAGTTTATATGATATCTGAATTAATTGAGTGAGAAATACTGAATCGTCTGTGAGAAACTGTTTCTTTTTTGTTTTATTTGCCTAATTTCTTTATACATGTTCGATTTATTATAGTATTTGAATAGAACATGTGGTAACAATTAGATAATTCTTCAAATGCTATAAATTTATATGCATTCTGAATTATAATATGGACGAAATTTAACGCTGTTAAGTGAACCTAGCGCCAGAGTGCCGCTATGGTAAACAAATAGGGTGAATTTTAAAAAGTGCATTTATTCTCTTGTGGTTTATTCGCTATCGACGATGTAGATTTAATTCAATCCAAAAAGTTTAAATGAAATGCAAGAAAAATGCATATAATTTAATATTGCGTGCAAGGAAGTCATGTGGTGTGCACATCAGATTTTATTATTAATGTTTTGTATGTTAACATTATTTATTAAAATCACGCTCTTCGCATTTATGCATCATAAACTTCAGTTCAACAGCAAGATACCAAAATGTTTAAAAGCAGTATATCTTTAGAATTTCCGATAGACAGTCTCGCACACTGGAGATAAAGATATTTTATTCCGCAGAGTGTCGAAAGCACTGCTCGCTTTCGAGTCGTTGAGTTTGTTAATCGAAAATTCATTAAAGTGGTTTAAAATATAAAATCAGTATTGGAAAATACATGACATCATTCTTTGAAAATTCGGAATATTTTTAATTAGACATATCATTAATTAAATGCATTTTAATTAATTAAATCAATCCGATTGAACAGTAAGAAACGAATATTCTTAAGAACTGCATCTATTGCTTTCAGATAGCTTAGCTTGTTAATCCACAATAGACAGATTCAGTTTGAAAGATAAATAAATATATTACATTTTGTCGAATGACAACAGACTCGAATGGGAAGTGAAAGAACGCATTTATAGTGATTCGCCGCACTATAAACTAATAGTCCCTTTTAGGCTCATAAATTTTAGGAATCAAATGCCTTTAAAAATTATTCCTGAAAAAGGCTGTAATATCTATTAAGATAAGGTAAGAAAGTAATGAAACTTTAAGCTGTCAATCATGAGACATTCGATTATTTGTAACAGATTCCTCAAACGGAAAATCACTCCATAAATAAGTGGTGAAAGAAACGGCTTGAGAAAAAAACAACCAATTTTCATCTCTTTTTACCTGCCCAACCTGTTATCACGATAAAATTGCTGTCAATAGCAATAAAATCATTGATGTTTTGAAACGTTGACAGTATATTGCAGAAGAGGAAATTATTCTCAGAACGAATGGCTTACGACACATATGACACATCATTTGACGAAGGAGATTAGAGGATATATTATTTAATATTGAAATACTAATGTAATTTGCCTTTCCAAATAAAGCTTTTCCAAAGATTCTGATAAATTTGGTTAAATGTCCTGTTTCTAATAGAAATTGATAATTCTATTTTTTATTGAGAGACGAGTTTCATGGAATTTTCTGATAGAAGAAATCGCGAAATAGATTGGCAGCTTCGTATAAGACATGGATTAAGGAACGAAAAAATTTGAAATATTCATCGACGGTATATAGAGCTTTCATAAAAGAAATATGTTATTTCATGTTATATTGTTCTGTGCGTACGGGTTCGTAATAGATTGAATGCACACAGGTCCGATGCTAGGTAAATAAAACTTATTTTGATCAACAGAAAGAGTTCAAAGTGATGGAATTTTCCACAGAAATACTCGTACGGGTGTTCACAGTATCACAGAGTGCAATCAATAGCTACACTTCAAACTACTAAGAACGTTAAACACAACGCAATCTAAAGCGTGCCTAAAGAGGAAGCTAATCCGGAGGTATCCCAATTCACGCTGAACTAACAACTCGCAACATACTTTGATATTGTTATATTCTGGCATACAGCGGAGAATTACGAGATCTTTCTAGTATTTTCTGCTTCTCGAAATTACTGGAAAGTAATATGACGGTCGAATTACAGTTGCAGCTAATAACATAATCAATTAAATTTATTCAATTACAATACCTACTACGGTGATACAAGGACTGGACCAAAATGCTGACAAATAGTCGCCACGCTTAGTGACTATTGGCGATTCTCGGTAAATAAGTCGCCAAAACGCTGTCAGCTTATGATATCTCGCCAAACAACCGAGATACACATTTACTTAATGTCAAATGGACTTGCCCTGTATCCTTACTTTTCCGGTATAGGTTCTCTCTTTAGATTTTCCGCGTTACATTATGCAGAAAAATACAACGATTTCACATATAACTGCATGATTTATTTACATGCGCTTAGTTAATTGGTTGGAGGTTACTTAAAAGGTAGTCTGCGTCCATTTATATACGTTGTAGAATCTCAGATCGGGCTTAGTGTCGATTGAGTCCATTCGTAAAAGAGCCTTAATACTTTTATTCCCGTTTGAGCCTTTGAGGAGAGGATTCAGTAATTGTATTCCTAACTGAGCCAGATCGCAAAATTCTCCTTTATTTTATTTGATATGCACTTTATTTTGTACAGTTTCAGCAGAACCTTTTAACCCCTTTTTATACGTTTCCAAGATATGCAACAAAGCAGTTTATTATCATATCCTAAAAATTTTAATCATTACTAATATTTGGTCATAATTTCGAAATTATCTATATTTCATTTCATCTTTCTAGAAATTAAAATGTCGAGTTTCGAGAGCATTTCGATATTAGAACCTCAGAAGAACATTAGAAAGTCAATGTAAAAAACTGTTTCTAGAAATTAGTCTAAAGATCAAATCCGAAGATAGGCTATTGCAAACCACGTGATTGTTTTTGAATAACAAATGGAGGCTGAAGTGACATAAACTCATCCTCCTTTACATTTATACGAAGGGGTGGAAAACGGAGGCTAGTATGGGAAGAATGGTCAACAGCTATTTCTGGTTTGGGATAAAACGAGAGTGAAATCGTCAAGGCTCTTTTGGAATAAGGCTATTTTGGCCGAACATCCTCAGATGTTACGCAGAGAAAAGGGTGATGTCTCACTTCAGCCTTTTTTCAACTCAGAGCGAAGAATTTTATTCGCTTCCTTTATACGTACCAAAATTACCTCTTGACTTTCATTCCTAAGTGAGCCTCATATTTCTACCCCTTCATATAAATATAAAAGATGGGGAGGAGTATATGACTCTTCACCTCCTGACTTTTACACTCCCACCAAAAAGTGTGTGATTTTTATCAATTTGTGTTCATTTGGTCTTTGCTGAGGAACACGTTTAAGCACTTTCCTCCCTTTTACGATAACAGGTCTTTCAAATTGAAGCATGTTTGTACAAATGTAAATAATCGATGGATCTGATGATCTGCCAGTAAGGTAGTATTATGATGAGTTTAGAACAATGATTGAACTTACTGTAATTGACTGAACTTACAATAAAAAACTTTTATTAATAAAAAGATGATTATGTGAAAAGACAAATGATATGAGATCATACTTCCAGATCGGGCTGAGCTAGGAATAAAATTAACAAGGCTGAGTTGAAAACGGCTGAATCGACATTAGAAGAAGAAAGTTTATTGAGTTCAATAAGAAACTTCATTTATACTTTAGAAACTATGTCTTCAACAAATTCTCAAAGGAAATAGATCTGGTTTTAGAAGTACCAGTTTCGTCATGTGTTCTGCTGAGCTTGTTAAGAATTTCGTGAGCACAACTCGGCCGTTGAGAAAAATTAAAATTAATAAAATCTGAATGAAATTGAAGACTAAGAAACAAAGAGTAAAATCGGAAGTAGAAATTTAGAAATTATATTTTTGAAGGCGGATATGCGCCAA